CCCCCCCCACCCCCCCACCCTCCTCCTCATGAACTTTATTGACCTTCTTCCTCCTCCTCCTACCCCACCTCTGTGTTCATCCAACTGTTTTTTGGACGATAACTCTCCATTCCATCCCCAAAAGAAAAAAAAAAACCTCTCTGAGACTGTGCAATGCTAGCTGATATGATTGGATTCTTTTTGTTTGTTTGTTTGTTGCTCATCATTGGGGGACAGTGAGTAAAAAAAAATGAAAAAAATTGAAATGCAGACAAACAAAAAAAGGATAAAAAAACAAACTGTTTCTCCACGATTTCATTTTTTTTCTCTCTCATTGTAAATATTTTTTGTCAAAGTTTTTTTTTTTTTTTGCCAAGCTGTAAAGTGAGAAGTGTTGAGCAGACGGGGGGCCGGCAGCATAAAGAGGAACTAGTGGACGCAGCGGACCGTCACGACGCTCTTCATCTCCTGATCCAGTACTTAGGTGTTGCTTGTAAAACCGCCGATGCTAGCTGTAGCGTGTGACCCTGTGCCGTTGTTGTTAGTGTTGATTTCTCTGCTGTATTCACTGTTTAGCTTTCATGTTGAGAACTCACGGGACGAGGAGCCCTGTTTCTGTGCATTCGTTGGTGTTTTCTAACAGTGTGTTGTAGTGGCATTAGTATCTTTTATTCTCAAGCCATAGTGTTAGTGTTAGACACATATCATGGAGGAAAACAACTCGACTCAGCGCTTTAGTTTTGGAGAGAAACCCGCAACCTAAAGACGAAGGAAAGGGTTCAAAACGAGGAGGCTGAGCTTGTGCAATACAGTCCTAGTTTACATGAAGCCTTTAACCTGTGCAGGTGCAGCTCGACCACCCCCCCGCTGCCTGCAGAACCGAACCATATCTCCATGTTTCCACATTCGAGACATTTAGAAAGTGTTCAAAGTTTCCGTCATTTCACCGCATCGCTCTCAGCTCCACTCCTGATTTATGCTGCCTGTCCCCATCGCCCTGAGAACACCACATGAGCTATTTATTTCTCAGACTATTATCATGATACCATTAATGAATAACAAGAAGAAGAAGAAGAAAAAAAAGGAATGACTGGAAAAAAGGTGAATTAATATTATTGTTTTCTTTTTATTTTTTTTAGTATTTTAGTGGTTGCTTTTAACAACATTCATTAACTGACTTAAAGATTATTGAATATTTAATGTAACTGTAGCATTGTGTTTGTAAAGAGAAAAAAAAAACCTAGTGAGTTGTGTTTCTTGACTTGTGGATTACCAGTGAAGTGGGCAATCTAGTGCTAATATATATATGAGGTCTTTTTTTTATTTTAAGGATTCTTATTTTGCGACAGCAACAGCAGTCATTATAAATGTTCATTTTAGCATCACTTGTCTTCCGTTGTCTTATTCTTCACCTTCCACCACACTCTGCATCATCACAGTAACACATCACAAGTCCGGGGTGGGACCAAGTGGATGAGCGTGCGTGAGTGTGAAAAAAAAAAAAGTGTGTTAGCTCGTGAACGTGTGCAAGGAGAACAAATCTGCGTGTTTCTTTGTGCGTCTATGCAAATGTGTGTGCATGTCTGCTAACCTGCCTAAGATGCATGTGTGTGTGTGAGGAAGAGAGCGAATGTGTGTGTGTGTGTGTGTTCGCTGGTTCTGTGAGGGCGGGGTCCGGGGTGGGTGTTCTGTCCAGTGTCCCACCAAAAAGCTAAAACCTGTCAGGCTTCCATGCTTCCTGATGGAACCTCCTGACGTTATAGCTGCAAACGCTCATCATGTGATCTGACTCAGCTCGACTCTTCATAACCCTCTTCAGTCACCTGACCAACCAAATCAACCAATCACTGTCCACCACCACCCCTCCCCCTCCCTGCGCCATCCTCCGCTGCACACCACGTCAGCCCCATGTGATGTTCTCCATCGATAACATACTACTGTCACAGATCTGGGGTCACACGTAGAGCCTGCTTCGATCTTAGGTTCTCCAGAGTTGAAAAATCCAAACGACGCCTCCCCTAAATCCAGACGAGTGCACCTCAGGTTGTTTTATGTGGAAAAGGTTCGACTAGTCGGTTTTCTGACACGTCTGTCTCTGGGACTTGTGTGCAGACAAACAGAATTTAATTTCTGGTTATTTGAAGGAATGCGTTTTACCTGCCACCGCGCACGCCAAAGTTTGAAACATTCTGTTAGCGCTCATTGTATACAACGGAATGACTCTCAGGTACTACCACACCAAATTTTAGCCCCACATCTGCAAAACTGGCTGAGTTTTAGCTGTTTTTGTGCCGGTGGATTTGTTGTGAATCCTTGCACTGATTCGGGATATTTTGCAAACAGACAAGCGTGTTTCATGATAAAAAGTCAACAGAAGCCAGAAGTGAGAACATTAAACTGTTGTTTTTTTTCTGTTGGTGTAGCTGTGCAACAAAAAGTAAATTAGCATTTTTGGGGGAGAAAGTATGACAGAAATTTAGGGGACAGATGTGTCAAACCTTTAATGTTAATCCCAAAAACTGAACGTGGTTTTACTTCAGATTTAGCTCAAAAGGGGACTTTTTTTTTCTTTTGCGTTACCTGGCAATACTTTGTGTTCTCACGCAAACGTTTGCATTACCTCGAAATATTGTTTTGCGTTCCCATGGAAAAGTTAGTTTTGTATCAACTGGATTAAATCAGACCTTTGTTTTGAAATACTGCCACAAGTACTAGAAATTGACATTGGCTGTGTCCAAAACGGCAGGACGGGTCCTCCGAAGGTCGAATTCGTCGGCCGCATACGTCACAGCACCGCGACGAAGGACGTCCAAAACCGAAGACTCCTCCGATGCGTCCGACAAATACGTCCTTCCTTTGGCCCGAATCGAAGGACAGGTCTGATGGATCCTTCCCGGCCCAGCATATCCCATAATGCATTACGGCCCGACCGGAGATTTTTTTTATGCTAGTAATGGCGGACGAAGCGAGAGAAAAGAATACATTTTAAATAAAAATATGGTGATATAAAAATTAAAAAAATTAGCAGTTGTAATTCTAATACTTTCATCATTTGTATGGACATGTTTTTAAATATTATTTTTTCGTCATAAAAAACGCGAAATAAACATGAACCTACAGCGGGTCAATTAGTTCTTCAAATGATACTTTTAAGTTCATTTAATAGTTTTATGATATTAATAATGCTAATGTATTGATATTTTTCTAGTTTTGATTTAAGTTTGCTTGTTTAGCGTCGTCACAGTTGCTAGGTGACATGACGTACGCCGGGGTAAGGAGGGGAGGCTAGACCGTCCAAATTCACAGCCTCTTTTTTTCCGGTCTTCCCGGTCTACCAAGGACCCGGCCCGCCGCGACCGGGGAGTCTGGGTCCTCCGGAGGACCCGTCCTGCCGTTTTGGACACAGCCGATAGCTGCGTTTCCATTGCAAAGGTTCGTAGAACTTTGTCGATATTCTGTTATTGTCAAAAAACACAGCTTCTCAATTGAGGTGTTTCCATTAAGTAAGAAATGCTATTAAAATCATGCGTGAATACGTTTGTTCTCGTGACAAGTCATTACAAACATGGCGGCAACGGATGTAAACAGTTACGTGAGGCTATTGCTACCATGGCACTGGCACTTATCATCAGCCATCAGAGGAGACGTCAGT